CTGAGTAAGCCCAAAGCCGCACTCGCGTTTGAATCCCCCCACACGCACACACACAGTCACACCCATACGAATACGCTGGATACGCAGCTGTGTTTGTGCCATGTGAAAGTAGATCTAAACCATCAAGCCGCAACTAGGAAGTACAACGCTTGTCAATGGGAATTGGTTGAATCAATCTAGCCCGTTGCTTGTAACGCGTTGCTTATATTATTTCCTCTACCGTACTCCCAGAGATGGGCTACGGTATAACTGATGTACAACTGCATTACTTCTTGCTCAAACTGGTCCTGTCAGTTGTGCAGAAATGACCCTCCCGTAATGAACTTTTATGTCAGTTTCCCCTAATTTGGTCGTATTAGCTAGCAACATTTATGCTTTCTTATCATGAAATAGGACAGGCGCAAATTACTTTATTTGGGGGGGAAACAACGAGCTCACATCAGAGCGAATCCCTCAAAAGTTAATTACCGTAACTAATATGCAGTGATTTGTGTATTTTTGGTAATACTTCTAATTGTTTGGTAATGTAATCAGACTCGTATACAACCAAAAACCTGAAAAGTGTATGGAAAGTGTAATTTAGAACAATTATTCTTAGTGATGATTTTTTCTCGGTTGAAATTGAGGCTAACATAGTTGAAACAGCCGACAAATTTGTACACAGTGAGTTCGTTTTCCTGGGCGTTGTCACAAACAGCCAATGTGCGTCTGCGCGTCGAATTTGCTGGCAGAGCTAACGAGATAGGGCAATGGATCGTAGGACTGAAGGCGCAGCTGAAGAACTTGAAGTTAAAGACAAGTACCTTGGAGGAAATCTTAGCAAGTGTGAGGAGGATAGAAATGGATGTAAGTCATCAGTGTGTGATCATGAAAGGTCTTGCTAATAGTTGCACTCTTGCACTCATGGAGGCACTCCCCCAGGGGGATCGAGGGGGCAATTTGCTCCCCCCCCGGGGGAAATCGCCTTGACAGATTTTTGTTATTCAGAACGGGTAGGAAAGGAAGTGATTGGTACACTTATTTATCAAATAATTACATATAGCACGAAATTTAAAGATGAGACGGTAAGTAAGGTTTTTGATATTTTTTCTCCCCGAACATCATGTTGAATGAGCAGCATTCGCTTTTGAATTCCCCCCCACACACACACACACACCCAAAAAGCTGGATACGCGGCTGCACACAACAAAATGCCGTTAAGCATCATGCAAATGTACATTGGTTTAAAGTGTAGCTGTATTGATTGTTTCTATGAAATACCTTTCCTTCAACTTCTTATTCTTCTTCAATTTATTTATTAATTTATGAACTGTGTTACTTTGCTATTGCTTAAATGCATTGGAAAGTGAAACAGAAACTCATCCATGCTTTCCCAGACAACTGAGGGCGCATTTTCCTATGAAGTCATGTAGGGCAGACATAGTTCAATACATAAGAATTTCTGTTTAATTTGTGAACCCAGATGTTACACACTAAAAACATTTTTAAAAGAGGAGTTGTTGAATTGTACTCTGTTCGACGTTATGAACGGAATTCCTTGCATGGATTGAGGAGATAGAGCAGCTGGGACCATTTATTCCCATGATTTCCCAAAAACAAACACGCTGTACCGTTTTACTAAACTTCATAAAGTTGTTCCTGGCAAATTGACAAAATAAGAGATTTATTAAGGCGAGCAAACAAGTTACTTCTAAACTGAAGAGTGGGGTTGAAATATCCGGTCCCCTTTAATGTGTTTTCTCTGAGACTGCATTAAAAGGACTTGTTCGGTCAAGTTGCACTCTACCGACTATGTAATAGGTGGGTTCCAGACGGAAGTTTGGCGCAACTAGGAAGAAATACTACATGGCAACAAACATGGCGCTCACCAGGATGATGTCACCTGAACGCTGATCTTTTCTTTGCTATCCGAACGCGTGACGGAAACATAACAATGATGGTTTCAGTTTGCTAACGACGAGCACCTCTGAACAAAGACACCATCGACAAACACGAGGAATTGCTCACATTATCGAAAAAGTCAGTTGGTTGAAGACTTCATACCCCACTTCAGTCAATTCTCTGGTTGTTTTTATAATCAATGATTATTTTGTCCAGCTGTTCGGTTACTTAGAAATGAGCTACAGGTATACTCTCAGGGAAAACATGCCACACGCATGGGTGTTAACGCCAGTTGTCACAAGCCAAACGTGTAGAGTTAAATACCCGACAGGGTCAGCACTACGAGATTTGAACAGAGTTGAACTGCTGCCCTATTCTAAAAAGTATAGTTCTCTTCATCAAAAGAACCTTTTTACTGAAAATTGCATACACAAACTTTTCGTCTGAATATGTAATTTTCAGTATTTATTCACAAGAGAAAGGCAACTGAGCCTTGGCGCAAATTGGTAATATCATTCGGGTTTCGTCTGCAATAGTAATCGTAACCGTATGTGTTTTTTTCTGCTAAGTAAGTATAGTAAGCAGGTATTTTAATGTAGCACCCATCAGACGGTGCCTGGTTACAGCAAGTGGGGTTTTGTTAAATTAGGTTGTGTGTGCTACGTGATTTTACAGGTTTTAAAACTTTATTTTTTTACAACCCAGGCTATGGATTTTCAAGTCTCACGTGGACGAGCAGGAGATGACCAACCAGTCTCTACAAGAAGCTGCAGTCTCTGAAAATAAACACACCATGTAGACCATGTCGGTAATGCTTTAAGCCTAGGCTTATGTGAATGTTGTTTAATTGGTCACCAGTTGGTTGTGTTTTCTCCCTTTTGTTTATGTCACCTTTTTATCATACAACGGGAGATTTCCATTGGATCAATGTCTTGTATAATTTACCAACTATTACAATACTGATGTATTACTGTTGGATACACTGTCCTCACGAAATGCCTATATGTGCTAAATGTACATGCTAACAGTTAACTTCACCCTGTCGACCGTATTCACTGCCCAGTCTAACACACATGAGGGTTTAAGCAACAAGTAACCAGAAGAGTAGAGCCGATTGTCCCATTGAATTCAAACTTCACATGAAATTGTTCTTGTCTTTAGGTCATGATACAGCAGGGATCCCCCAATGAACACATTTACTGAGAACATCATTTTTACATATGCAGTGAAAGTTATGAAAACTGGTAGATCATCCATTGGCCAACTGGTTGTTCAAGTGATTTTCTACCTTTAAATTTCTCTGTTTTGCAACCAGTCGCTTCGTATTAGCTACATACAGGTGATAACAGCAGTCAGGCGATACATCAACGAACTGGATAACCACATTTTGGTGCGGGATTCCAAGGGCATCACGGAGGAGCAGCTATCGGAATTCTGGACGTCCTTCAACTCTGATATGGGGGGGGGGCATTTGTCCTAAAAAGATATTCCCAGGTTTGAGTTCCAAACTGAGTAGTTTCTACTGAAATCAATTATAGATCCTCTTAATAAAACCAAAGGTCTGCTCTTGGCGTTTTACTTCCAGGATGTTGTCTGGTGTTGTCTGGTTTAGTTGCTGATTGATTGCCCAGTTATGTTAATGTAGACAGCCCTCAGAATATTTTCTGAGAGGCAATGAAAGGTGTCTTTGTGAGAACATCTTAAAGAAGAGGCAAATCTGTCTGTTGTTTCACCTTTTATTGACAAACTCAGGGAAGGTGTGATCAGTGAACCAAAAGTGAACAAAGTAAAAATTTGGGCAATTTGTATTGTTGGATTGTTTATTGGATCGTCGACGCATTTCCGTTGGTTCTTCGTGGTCGTAGCAGCACCGTTGATAACAATCAAGATTGAGCTGCTGGTCCAAAGGGGAATCGGTTAACAGCGTCGTCCCCCTTCCTCTTATTGTAAAGTTGGAAATTTTACCACCCCACAAAAAAAGGATATACCCTGAAGGGGTCTCATTTCCCGTTTATTGTTATTAAAATGACACCCCCAGCCAAAAAACATGCATGGATCCGCCCCTGCCACAGGCGATGTCCATGCGAATGATATACCAGGCAAGATATGGGACGGAGGGGTACCCCCCTTACCTGTCCAATCCCTATACACACTCTAGACTATTGTTACCTAACACATCCCCCTAGAAGTCTGTAAAGAGTTCGTGAGATTCCGATCAAACAATGACCAACACAAAGGCGGGGGGTCTCTCCGTCCCATATTTTGCTTCAAATGTAGAGACAACTAGCAATAGAAGGAATGATAAGCTGGATTGACACCAATTGAATCAATTTCTTAAGTGCTCTGTGCTCAATCAGATTCTCAAAGGCTCTCGGGAAGTTGAATATACCAATGCTGGTATAATGACCCCGCTTTTGGAAGGCCCATGTGCCTGCACTTTTACAGTTTTAAAAAACATTTTTTCGAGTGTTGATGTCAGTGTAGTGATCATTTAAATTAAAATGAATTTAACTTAGCCTCGCATTTAACCAGATGATATTCAGGCTATTCGTGGTGAAAGACTACAATAGGTGGAAAGGCTTGCGGTAGCACTATACGATGGAATATATCTCTTATGAATATGTGTGGTTCTGAAGTGAACCGGGAGTATCCTTAACGTTTTGGACTACCTGCTCAGTCTGTCGCCATTTTCCTGACGACGGACTAAGCACGCAGTCCGAAACGTTGAGTATACTCCCGGTTCTTTTCAGAACTACACATACTCATAAAAAATGTATTCCTTCGCTTGGTGCTACCGCAAGCCTTTCCACCTACAGATGATATTGATAAAATTGGACAGGAAATTTATGACAATATACATACAGCAGTTTTCATTTTTAGTATCAATCATCCATAATCTTCTTCCCCATGTAGTTTTTCATACTTCATTGTATAATGTCAGTGGTGTACAGGACTGTCCAGGGGCACCGCACCCGAGATGCACACGTTTTTCAAGGGGACACCGCTGCAGTTGTAAAGCTTCATAAACTCAACGGAGATTTCAAATGGGGGACACCCAGTGCCACCGGCGTCCGCTGGGTAACTCTCATTCTCATATAGTTTACAGAGGTTTATAAGCCGTTTGAAGTCGTTTCGGTTACAGAATGGTTCAGGCAAGCTGGATCTGCCAGAGTTCAAGCAGTGCCTGGTTTCCTTAGGCCTTGTCATGGACGTTGAAGACACCCAAGATGAAGAGGTTTGTCTCATCATGAAGATAGTTGACCCCAATAAAATTGGCACAGGCGAATCAGTGGACACTGAGGGCTCCTTCAAAGTGCTTGCAGGCAACAAGGTAGGCTCTATGGACAAATTAATTTCTGTGATATGCACCAACGATCCTTAATTGTTTGTCACCTGTATACCTCTATTAACCTGAAGCGCCAATTTCACTTGGATGACACTGTACCTGACGGAGGTTTTGTGAAAAGTCGTCGTCTTAAAATTTATCGTAGAACTTAATTCTAATCTCATCTGGAAGTAAAACTTCCCGTACCTAGCTTATTTGCCTTATGGTGTTGTAAAACCAATTGTCTCGGGTCGTAGCTGGATTTGGATTGCATTCGTTTTAACACGTACGTTGATAGCTGGCAAGTGCAGCTGATGGGCAATGGAGAGTACAGAAATTATGTTAAAATCAAATCTAGTCTTTTGCTAATGCAGCAAATCTATCCATGAAATTCTCGGTATGTTTCATGGCCGTGTATCTGCAGGATAGTACGCGGTTTATACACGTACGTATGCATTCTTGATGTGGGCCTGTGTAGAATTCTGCTGTCTGGGCCTATGTTCCTGACCGCTGTTAAATTTCGGCTGCACCCATAAGCGCAGTCAATTTGGTCTTGGGTGCTAAGGGTGCACCCACGTAAACAAGCCAGAAATATGTCCGCCGAGCTCATAAATATAAGTTATACACTCAAAATATTCTATAGTAGAGAGTCCTGAGAACCACGGTATTGGGGAATTGATGAAATGTGGCACTGAACCTGTGGCCCGGATGCAGGGCTTCAACCTCTGAGCAATTTAGATGCAATCAGTTCAGGAAGTGTCATTATTTAGCCGTTTTGAAGTGGGATGCATTTACAAAATGGCTGCTTTTCGGGTCAGTGAAATTTCCTTCATTTTAGGGGTGGTCTGCCTTGGATGAGAATTTCTTGACAATTCATCGGTCAACTAAAAATTGAAAGGAAAATGAAGGAAGACACGTCGAACATCATTGTGCTGTCCAGATTGGACACCTATGAGACTTGTATTTTTAGATAATTTCGAAATAAAAGGATTTATCATTGGTGTCTATGGGAATTTATTTCTGTTGGTGCACCCCTAGGTCAGGTGATATGGGACGTCAGTTCAAATTATCCTAACCCATTTCTGGGCGTGGACTAAATCATTTTTATGTTTCATGCCTCATTTGTTTTTACTAGATTTGTATTAGATTTGACTAGTGGCTGTCTTCCTAACCCTTGAAGTTCAAGTGATAATCTCTTTCTCACTGGGGTCTTTTTCATAGAACTAAATCTTGAAAGAGGACCTGATTCGTCAGCTTCCTCCTGACCGGGCAGAGTACTGCATTTCAAGAATGGCACCATACACAGGACCTGATGCCGTCCCAGGTGCCCTAGATTACATGTCCTTCTCAACAGCCTTGTATGGGGAGAGTGATCTGTGAGCAGGATACCAACTGGGATGTAGTCCAGCAGTTGATTATTATTGCATTTTGAAATTAATCAAGAATGAAAGGCGTTGAATCCACCTGATAACCAAACGGTAGCCTATAGTAAATTTGCTACTAGGCTAACAGTGCTAATTGGTTTGTAAACAGAATGTATGCTTAATGGTAGTATCAAGCAAATCTGGTTTTTTTCTCTCACGCTGAATCATGGTTTTTATGTTTAGGATTTCATTGAGCAGTTTTGGTTTATGACTGAATTCCAAAAAATAAGATTTTAATTTAATAGGACGAGTTTGTATTATTGTATGCGTGTTTCCCGGACAGTGGCTTTGGATTTCCGAGGAAGTTGGAGAAATCCCAAGATGTAATCGGACGAGGGAAAAAGTGGGAAGGAGCCGCCCATAAAGGCTAATTAATTTTTTTACTCAATTCACAAATAATCTGTGTTGTGAAACGCCAGTAATTTCTGACTCTTTGCAATAATGTTTGTTTCATCGTTTTGCATTGAGTACAATTAATTTCTATAAATTCCTTGAGTTCAAGAAATGATATTTCGTAGTCATTATCAATTGTGGTTGTATTTTGACATACAGTGACATTCTTTAGTAAAAATATCTTACTAAACAGCACCGAGGCAATATTCTGTGAGCGTTTTTTTCTGAATTGAATTTTTGCTTCATTAAGCTATTCCCACAACCTGATGTACGTTTGCAAAACACAAAAATGCTTCTTTATTCTCTGCTATATGCGTTAACTCGTTTGAGGATGTTTAAAGGTTGATAGTTGAGTTGTTAACCCGTTTGACGAGTGAACTAATCCATAGAGTGTACATGTAGTTAAGGTTGACTTAGCTGTTTACTAACAAAAGGATAAAGATATGTCGTGTTCTGCAATAATTTTGTTTCGTATTTTTGTCTCCAAAAAACTTGAGATTAACAACAAATTCCGACTATTAATTGACACAATTGCCGACCATTCACTGTTACAAGAGAATGGATGCTAGAGCCACGGTGTCTTGAATAATACGCCCAAAGTACTAAGTTGATCGCAGGTCTACGACTGGGAATTGTGAAGCGCAAGAATTAACCAGCTTTATTCAATTGAATGTTCTAAAAACTGACGCCCAGTTGTAACGGGATAAACGTTACGAACAGGTTCGAATGGTATTGACAGGACAAGGATTATAAACACATACATACACAGACGATTAGATTGAATCAGATACGTGTGATCAGTTCACAGGAGCCATCTTGCCAAACTGGGCATGGCTTTTCCCATAATGCACTTGACATAAATCTGGAGTGCACAACTACAGTTACAGGTTTTTATTTGATGTACCATATCACTGTACTGTGGACACCTAAGAACGACGGAAAACTTTTGGAGATAAGGTCAGTTGTCTGCGGGAAAAGAACATGACAAAAGTCATATTACGTGATTTTTGTTTGAAAAGGATGTTAGACATTTTACAGAGTGAAACTGTTCCCAATTTACAGATGCATCTTTCGGGAGCAAATGACTGCCTCAGGCAAACCCTCTTACACCCGTTTAGACGTTTAGACAGGCGTTCTGGGGTTACGCCGAACCAGATTAAAAGCAAATTTTGAATTGAGTACAGTTTTAAACTTCGACGTTTGAAACAATTGGGAGCGTTGCAGGTGAAAGATCGACATTTGAAGACGTTCCAAAATGACACCAGAGCGACTTGGTTTCAGACGTCAATCTTCAGATTGACGTCTGAATCTTTCAGACGTCGTCTGTCTGAAACCACATTTAAGTCGACCTGGGCCGCTCTTAATTCTATTTGGTTCGGCGCGACGCTAGAATGCCTGTCTGAAACGGGTGTAACACCCCGTCCCCTGCAGTTCGAACTGAACCAGTATAATTCGGATGTTTTACAATAGTGCGCCTCCAAGAGTTTGCAACGTGTTACAAACTCTTGGAGGCGATGTAAATCGCCCTTATTCTGAAAGAGCACCCGGTGATATGATTAACTCATTTACTCCTTGTAAACAAATACTTAGCGACCCATTTGTCAAGCCTTATCTTGTAATGTTACGTGTTCTTGGCAAGGCGGTACGGTTGGGTTGTCTTTATTTACCGTTCCAGCATTTTATCTGACAAACTGATATTCGTGGCTTCAAAATTGTTCCATTTCAAAGGGTTCATACAATCTCATATATATGTTTGAGTAAATCTCTAATTTTTACTTTTTGCCAGCTGGAAAGATATTTGGTGGCTTTGTGGTTGTTATGCTTTGTTATGTAAATTTCCCTTTTAAGGCCAACACTGTGAAGTTGAGGAAGGAAACCTCAGAAATGCATCAAGAGTGCATTCCCGAAACCAGGGTAGGCCCATTTGTTTAGTTTTTGAAAAATCCTGGAAATCATTTTGGGGATTATTCATCTTCCTTTTCTAAAATAAAGGCAAATTCCAAAATATATCTTGAGCCCTCAGAAAGATCATAACAAGTTACTTGGATTCCAACTTTTGTGTGTCCTTGGAAATAATAGCTCTAGATTTGCTTTTAAGAATCCATGCGCTTTAAGTGTTGGCGGGTCTAAATCTTTTTTTCAAGGCAGCATCAATATATCTCCATGGTACAAATCTTTTTCCTCCCTCCCGCTCGATAATTTCTTTCTGATGGTGGTTATTGAAGAATCGAGTTAAACACGATCGGTGTCTTTTTGACCGTTGATTGTTGTCCTTCTGTACAGAATTTATTTTTCTCAACAAAACTACATGGGTCTTATACATATCACAGTTCATGTATGAACTTCTATTAAAATTGTTAGTCTCGGTAATTCATATATATGTTTGGATGGAAGGTTTGACAATCAAACAAAAAAGATCAATTTTTAAGGAAAATGATCACTTTGAAGGTTACCAACAGGTAGAAACTAACCACATAATAAATGTCAAAGGCTGATTTAAATCAAATAGAGCTTTAAGTATATGTCATCAAGATGACAAACCTTAAACGTCTTGAAAATCAAAGCTGAACTTTAAAAAAGTTGGTTTTCAGTTTCCACTGCTGGAGATTCACAGTTGTCAAATGGTGTATAAAATATGTATAATGATTATTTCTAGGTTTCAAAGGTCACGTTGTTTTCCAGTTGGTGGACATTTTGAATGTTAGTTAACCATTCAAATGATGGCAAAACGTACTCCTGAGAAAAATATCCATTATCCCCGAAGTGCATTTTTTCAGGAGCTGAGCCTGAAGGAATTTTTAGAATACTTCTTTGTAGTCTTTCTACAGCAATTATATAAAATCGAAAATACCATTCTTGCACAGCACCCATTTTCCGAGACGTCATCCTGAGGCATGCTATTTTTCTACTGCTATGTGCAATGCTCACGGGCTGACAAGTGTAACAAACCTCACAATTTGACCCTAACAACCTAACCATATGTATGAATGAGTTCAAACATTATATTTTTAATGAGCAATGTGTCTTTATAAATGCATGCTAATTGAAATAATCCAGCAAGGCACAGCTGAGTTTCAGGGGCCGGGTCTTGTCCTTCCCCTCGTCGTGAGACGGGCCAAAATATCTCCCTTAAGGGTTACGCCAAATTGTGAGGAAAATAAAATGTATAATATCAACTTGAAATTGCAAAAGTTGTGAGCTGTGCAAAACCAGTACTAAACTATAAGCTTACAAAATTGATGTTGTGGCATGCTTAAACAAACTTTTCAGAATGTATGCACACCTGTCAGAAAAAGAGTCTGTAATTAATCATTTACAAATGAATTATGAGCCCATACAGCAGGTTCACTCCTAAATATTGAGATGTTACAAATACACAGGTTACAGAGTCGCCATCCTTGTAGTAACCTTTGCGAATGTTTTCTTTAAAAGCAAAGCTGATGATTCACTCTCGTATTATAAATACCCAGGGTGGCAATTACACCCCTTTCCACAACTCCAGATAAGTGTAGCTCATGCTTTTGAATTGACAACTTGGTATGAATCGATACCTAAAACTCTCGTCTATACATCAAATGTAATGGCGTTTTAAACGCAAAAGAAAAGTGCAGTGTATGTTTTATTTCACCGAAGCTTTACCTTATCTCGAAGTATTGCAAGTACCAACGTGGAAAACATTTGTAAACTTTCACAGTAAAATAAATAAACTCTCGCGAAGTATTACTTGAAGTATCTCACTCGAATTTACCAGATTTCTCATAACATGTCTCACAATGATAAAACAACGGTGAAAATTTAAATGAAAATTCACAGTGATATGCAGACCTGATATCTGAGGAAAGAACAAAAGCTGATGACAATATATTTTGCAATTACTGGAGGACGTCAGATAAAGACACACTATTGTGTAGTTTTCTTTATGGTGGATAAAGTCTTGGCAACTAGTTCCGATCAATGTATATTCATGGCGAATACAGCTTCAGTATTGGGGATAATGGGTAGAAGGTCCAGCAGAACTTCGTTAGGGGTTATAGTTTTATTGTTGAAGGTGAAGTACTCAGTGCATCGCTATCCAGATGCCACTTCCTCGAAGGGAAGCGCAACGTCTGCGCTTATCTCTTGGAGGAAACATTGCAAGCTTTAACAAAACGACAGTAAAAGCGAGATGAACAAAGAAGGCACTGAGAAATGCGGAACGAACCACACGAGAACGATCATTCCTAATCTCCATGTGTTCTCCAAGGATCTGGTCTTGTATCTCGGTGTTCTTTTCTTCAGTCAAAGATGGTCATATTTGTCTCTGTTTGACCTTGCCCTACCAAATCGGAAACGCTTAAAAAATCGCCTGATTCTACCACCTGTGGCTGAGCTTGATCTATTTGATTTGACATCCCTGGCAACTTCGACTGCTTTCTTTTCTTCAGTGCTTTCAACTTTTTTCTCTGCCAAAAGACCACTTTTGGTGTGATTTAGGCCTACCTCCTTTCTCCCTGAACCTCCTCCAACCTGAGTCTCTTGCTTGGTCACACAAATGGATTCTATTAAACCTTCCTTAAGAAGGGCGAATGTTATGGGTTCTAAATGAATGACAGCCTCGAATAGCTGAGCCATACTTTTCATTTCCATGTTCCATAATACCTTATCGATAGAATCTTCATCATCTTCGATGTCGCTATCAACAGCTCCATATGTTGATTTACTTGAATACAACACCGAGTTATTGAATCTGCATATGGTTTCGTTGTGAGCAATACCTGCTTCATCAATAGCCTGGATAACACTTGGCTTTTTGGCATCACAGAAAGTGATGAGGAGTATTATATTGCGTTTAATGTCGAACGCGAACGAGGACATGATAGAATCAAAGACGTAAACTTCTGTGGGAGTGAGGCGGGGTCTTGAAGCCTGAACAACAAGGCCTACCGCATCAATATGGTCCATGTGATGATCTTCGGAGTGAGAGAAAAAATCTTGGATCTGGTTACTAATGGCTTTGTCGCGACCAATACCTCCCGTGTTGGCAAATCCGGGCGTGTCAACAAGTGTCACCGTGTATGGAATCTTGTGGTGTCTGTTGCCATAAATAGTATATAATGTTATATGTTTTGTTTGACTGTGAGCCTGTGACTGCCGTCCTTCCCCCCGTTCATCTACAATCTTGAACCTGTAGTCATCTTCCCACTTGACCCCTAAGATGTAATTGATCATCGCGTTGATCAGGGTACTCTTACCGGCACCTGTAGCACCAAATAACATTATCACTTTATGATGTATGTCAGAAGATGGTAGTCGGCCAAAACTGTAACTACGGTACGTAGCTGTTGCTGAGCTCGACCTCTCAATCAGTGGAATGGTAAGAATTTGGGGGTCACTCTCTACAGGGTCACTCTGGGATATCCTGCAGATGTCCAGGATATAGTCCTCGTGGCTTTGAACTAAGAATTGGGAAAATGAACTGCGTTCATCACTGTGGACAACTGTATGACCCACTTTGCTACCCAACCTCTTCGGTGGCTCAAAGATCGTATGAACTTGACGGCCTTGCTCAAAAACAAGGATAGCAACATGTACACCACTGCCAAAACCGGACACCACAAACCTACTCGAAGTTTGGGTATTCCAATTTTTTTTATATAACTCCATAAAGTGGGCTGCAAGTGATTTGGTCGTCGCATTGTGTTCAATGAGCCAAGGACTCTGACTTCGCAAAGAATGTTCTGTCACGTGGGGCGTTTGCTTTAGCGAATCGGTACTTTGAGACAGAACAATAAGACAGTCGTCCGGGGCTGTAAGAGGGAATGAGAAGCAAACAACTCTGGAATAGCGTGAGCGCAGCTGATTTAGGTCATCCTGTGATTGGATAACCGGTACACCGGCAAGGAGTTTTAAGCATTCCGCGACTGTGTTCATTTCATGCTCTTTATGCTTGATCCATACACTCAGCTGTTGCTCCCTGAATGGTGACTGATTTGAGTCACGAATTACATCCCGAATCGTTTGCTCTTTGCCACCGCTACGAATTTCCAATAACGCTCGCGCACCTTTCTGCTTTATAGATTTGATGAAATTATCGAGGATAGCGCTCATTTCTTCAAATCTAGCAGAGAACTGGGGGAAGTCTTTACATATGTCGTTATTTTTTAGGTCATTGCATCGTACTTGCATCGCATTTGTTCTCTCCAAAATCCTCTGAAATTCATTGAGCACATGCTCACTACAGCTGTTTTGACCAACCGATTTCACTAACTGTGGATTAAGTTTATTAAGAGACAATAGTCTAACCAGAATCGGTATTGAGTTTACACCATTCTTTTCAATCATTAAAGGCAGTTTCTTAGCCATGCTGACAGCATCTTTGTAGGTTTTTGGTTCTACCTCAAGGCTGAAATCCACCAAAAACCTACAGAAGATGTTTTCCACATTCCCATACTTGCTCGGTGTTGACAATCGAGTCACACGCTTACCGAATGCACCTTCGTTTTCAATTACGTGGAGTAGATGATTTCGCACTTCTGTGGCGTTTTCCTTGCTCGAACACTTTCTATCGAAAATGAAAAACGACTGGACCCCATACACAACACCAATAACTACGTGGGTAGCACCCTTTTGCTCAAATTGGTTAAGATCTTTAACATTACTTCTACAGCGCTGTAATGGTAACTCCGTGAATGCTGTAGTGCTTCTGTGATGCACCGTCACCCGGGCTTGGCGACATGACTGTATCTTGTCCTCTAGGTATTTTGCAGAACCACGAACGTCTACAAGTCCGCAAAGATAGCTGGCTTTCAATGCATTGTCCATACGAAGAGCCGCTGCTTTGTCGTCAACCTCGTTCGATGAAATGATGGAAAAATTGCATTGGTTTATATGATGGACGACACAAGCCTTCCTCATCTCGTCATCATGCCACAGCTTTGACTTAGAGACAACCTTTTCTCTACGGCAATCATACAACATGCCAAGTTCTATGCGCCTGCCTAGAGTAGCGAGCCAACGAACATCATCTTCTGCCATGGTTAGAATCGCACCGATGTCAGAGGAGACCTATAAACGAAAATTCTACAGGAGTTAGTTACGTTATGTTTTCACACTTCACCCAGTTTTATCGTAGTTGACTTTCAACAAGTATTTCAACAGAAAATATTTCCTTTGGTGAGATAGGTAGCATGCACTAAAAAAATTTGCCATATTTTTTTAACAATCTAAAAATGAAACAGTGACAAGGTAAATTTTTGCTTTTTCATACTACCAGTATATTAGAAGTCAAACTTTGCTCCTATCTACAAATGTTGGAGTTATTAAGAAAACCTAAGAAGGAAAAAGTTACCTTGGGAGTTTAAAACTATGCCTTTTGGTATTAAATTTCTTTTTAAATGTAACTTGCTAACGATGTATCCTACTCAGCTCTCACTTTCAAGTCACTTGTTGATCAGAATCAGAGCTTCCTACAAAAAAGGACCGACTAATTGTCCTTCCCATTCGATTAATGTTTGTGACTGCTGTATATAACTGAAAACGTAATTCGTACTATGTCACTCGACCACTGACTGGGGTATGTATCCTCCATTTTTTGAGGTGCGGGCCGGGTTATTTAATCATTTCCACGCATACTTTTTTAGAAAAAAGTGGAAGTAGCTTATGAAGCATTTTTGGACCTCCAATATCTCTCGATACTCATTATCACTCAAAAAGAGAAAAAAGCCATTAAATAAATGAGCCATTCTGATGTAATATTCTGCATAAATATAATACACATCGCAAATGTACATGTACACCTGTATCATGAGCTTCACCCTCGGTGTAATGTCATATGGTGTCAATCACCCCCCCCCTTCAAGTTTCATTGGCCAGACAAGTTATTGCCCCTCAAGTACAATGCGATTTGGGACGAAAATGGTTACATCTGTTGGTTTTCAAGAACGACAGTATAAAATGAATGCGATTCGCACGCGTCGCTACCAATCCCGACTGGCATTACCCCTTTTCAACCGATGAGGGGGTGCTTCTGCTCAGGGCGGAAAAGGCAAGTTTCTGAACGATTAATCTGCTCATGTTACACATGAACTTTTATTGTGTAGTCAGAAATCATGTGAATAGTTTAATAATAGACGAAGTTAAAATCAAGATTCAACTGAAAATAAATTGGTTTCGTGCGAATTTTTTAAAAGAAAACACAGACACAAATAAACTAAGCATTGCAATCGAAATATAACATAGTAACAATGACCCAAAATAGTGAAGAAAGTAAAATGAAAGAAGTATTTGTCATAATGAACAAGATATATTTCAAATTCAAGTGAAATGAAAAGAGTGGTTTACTTTAACTGAAAATCAATGCCATATCTGCGATTTCTTTGACTATTTAGTCAATTTTGACCATCCAGTTTTTTG